ATAACAGGAACATAAAGTTTATGGACGAACAATGGTTTCTAATATATGTTCTTATTTCATCATAAGGATTCCTCACTAAAACTTAATAATCGCGACGGGAGAGACATTGTTTTTTCCTTACACGTCAGTGCTTATGAAATTAACAAAATTAGTGAGCGAACATAAAGGTTTACTGCCAAACAAACCCCATGCGTGTCTTATTTCGAGTACATATCTGTGTAACATAATTGACCTCGTGAGATCTTAATGTGAAACCCTTACAACATGAAAAAGATCAAGAACATGACGGTAAAGCTCAATATATTATCAAAAACTAGTGAAGGAACATATATAAAGTCGCTAAATTTCGAAACAAGACCAATATCTCACATCACATATATCATCCAGAATGATTACAGGGGAAGAAAGATTAGCTAAGCAATTGTGTGGGCTTGATGAACCCTTGCTCCACCTTATTGAAACTTCCACTATAACTGGCAGATGAGATCAGCCCAGTCATGCTCCTCCCAGCCCCAGCTCGTTGCATGGCCGTCACTCGCTCCTTCAAGAACTTCATGTACTGAACAGCCTCATCCAGCATTGATGCCGTGTCCATCTTCACCCCTCCGGGAACCAACCTCTGCAGTATCCTTATCCTCTCGCTGATCCTCTCCCTCCTTAATCGTGCCGCCACGCTTTGAGGATCCTTTGATATTCTCACGTTCCTCCTCTTTGGGGGCTTGACAGACTCCGGATCAATGTTGACAGGTTGTAAGGCCGCCATTATGAAGATCATCTCCCTCATTTCTTCGACCGTGTTAGGTTTGAACCCTTGGAAAGGGTTGCATGTTGGAGGCAATTGGGGTGGTTGGGAGATTTGAGCTTCGTTTTCTATTTGGGTGATGCTACTGAACCAGTTCATTAAGGGCTCCGCAGTTACTGAGCTGACAAAGTCTTGTACCATTTTTGGAGAAGAAATGGAGGAAAGTGTATAATGAATGAGTTTGCTAGAAGCTGCCACTACTGTTCCATGCTTCAGCTAGAATGGCCATATATAAGCAACTACTATTAATAGGGTTTCCATGATATTGGTCCCCACAAAGGAGACTATTTCAATATAGGGTAAATTACACTGTAACATCAAGTATTGATATTATAATTTAATTTGTTCAAACATTTAAGTTACAACAAAAGGATCCCTCTAGTTACAGTCATTTACTTTTTTTTATAGGTAAATGAAATCTTCATTTACTATTTGAAAGTTATGTACATAACAACCCTAGGCATATATACCCAGGGATCTACAGCAAACAACTACTATAAATTGCAAGTGCAAGCTAGCTTTCAACCCGACATACCCTTTGCAATTACAGCAACTTAAATCTCCTTAACCACCACATTAACCCTCCTAACTTTTTGCCAAAATCTCCTGAGATTACGCTCCCGCCAAAGATGATAAATTGTAGCAGCAAAAAATAATGACAATCAGCCTTTTTTTTAGCGCAGCTTTTCCCTTCATATGCACAAGATACCAATCAAGCTCATCATGAAAACACATAATTAAGGTCTCTTATTCACTTCCGCCCAACACAATAGCTTCTTCCAAACAATAGCAGAGAAGGGGCATAGACAAAAAATATGTCACAGAACACGCCTACTTTCAGTGATAATTTGAAGATGCACGAGTCAATTTTGTGTCAATAATCTCCTGAACAATGCAAGCCAAAGTATAAAACAGTGCTTTTTGGAATAGTAAAGGTAAGCTTTGCTAGTAAGTTAGAGCACGAAGCATAGAGGCCATACACGGTTTACCCCCAATCTGTCACTTAGCAAAATTAGACATAACAACATCAAGAGAGCCACAAATATGCAATAACCAATCTCTAGTGCTCAAGATTCTTCTTCAGAACCTAGAATCAATACTCTTGACCCCAACGGTCCGCAAAGAGCCATGTTATAAATAATTTTCATGAAGCCATTTGTACAATATATTTTGCTTTATATAAATATGTATTGTTTAAATTCATTTACTTTAAACATATAAGAACCTAATGTTGTTACTGCCATCACCACAACAATCGCTAGACTAGAATGCGAAAACAAGGTCTTGTTTTCATGAGGAACCTTGGCTAGATCAATTTGGCATCAGGAATGCACTACCACGGTTTTGCTCTATGACAACGGTTCAGTGGTAACGATTTCTAAGCGTTGCGCTTGACCCCAAACATGACGGTTCTACAATGCTTTTCACCGTTGTTTTTGGGTTTGAAGAGCACTTGCGTTGGAAGCGTTGCGCTTGGCTCCACTTTTTGGCGCCTAATTTTTTAGTGCCCGCTCAAACACTAAAATATAGATCGTGTGTTTTTGCTTTTTAATCAAATCCTCAAATTTAAACCCTCTCTTTCTATGTTTCTTCTCGCCGCCACCACATCCTCCTTTAAACGATCCATCTCCGATCCCTCTCCACCTCCACCTACGCCTCCGCCTACAAGACCATACCCTCTGGCCTCATCCATGCCATTTCCCTCCATCCGTCCAAGTGCTAAGGTTTAGTCTCATATCTCCCCTTTGTCTCTTCGATCGGCCACCCTCACTTGAAGCTGAGCTCAATGTAATGTGGATGTCTGAATCTCTCATCTCCAATCTCTCAATCGTGTCTAATTTGATAACTTTTGTTCATGGCATCTTTGTTTAGGCATCGGAGAAGAAACTCTCGAACCCAGTGGGGGAGATTAAGATCCATAAATTGGTCTTCAGTATTTGAGTTGGAGAGAACGTACGGAGATATGAAATCCTCTGAGGTATTGATCGTCAAACTCTTGTTTAGACTCGTCAGTATTGGACTCATCCCCAACTATAATAACCAGAAATGCGTAAGAAACCACTTCTGACGTACCAACCTCATACCTTAGTGCATAGTAGATAATGTAACATAGCTAATATTATGTTTTTATTTCTAAATCTTGTAGAAATTGGAAGATCCTCTCATTAACGAGGCTTGAAAAGAGCTTGAAACGAATCTGGAGAAGGTGGCGTTTGACACGGTTGGTATGAAGGTGAGATATTCTTATGCAGTGTTAAAAAGTTTTTTCCCATCTTAGTGCAAGACTTTAATATAAGTATATAGTCTACATACTAACTCTTGTGTGTCTCTACGTACAACAAGTTCATATTACCAAGTTTAAGGATTTAACATACTTTTTCTGCTATTTCTAATCATGAAGTTAACTTTTCATACTTTTGGAAATAATGCACAATTTCGATTCCATGTTGGAGTTGGATTATGACGCAGGACAGGACACGGGAGGAGATGAATGCAAATAAGTCAAGAAATCATACGGATGGAGATCCCTAAAGTAAGCTACGTGCATGCACTAGATGCAAATGCAAACTAACCAGCAAATAACTAAAGATGCAGTGCAACCCTAAAATGATAATGGTGATGAATCATGCAAGGAATCACAGAAATGTCAATACTCAATGTAATTATAAATTATCTACAACTCTCAAGAGATTGCAAAATAATCAATAGGAAATTGATACCCTATTTAGAGTTCACCTAAGGGCATAAGGAACTCACACCCAAATCGCCAAAGATCTGAATGAAGACCGAGTTGAAAGGTCCATTGCAAACTTGAAGTACTAATCCACGAAATTGAAGAAACTAGCTCTCAACTACTTAGATTTGACTTTATCACACACCTATAAGCAAAGAGACAATTTTTCCACATAGCAAAAGCAACATAGATCTGAAATAAAGTTAGCAAGTCTAGGGTTTTGAAAGCTCTGCTGAAGTTTAGGTTCACGCAAACAGTTTTGGATGGCATGAACAGTTATTGGCAGGTGTGTGAACAGTGATCGGCTAGGTGTGAACAGTGATCGGCTATATGAACAGTAAACCAGTGCTAAAGAGGGTCAAAGAATCGCTTGAGTGATATTAGAACAGAGCATGAACAGTGGTCGTCGGGGATAGAACAGTTTACGGGTACTGTTCATGTGAACAGTGACGCAATATCATGAACTAATGTAGGGTTTGTTTGAGAGGAGAGTTGGATAGTTGAGGGTGTAATGAAGGGCTGTGATCTGATTAAAACAATTAAACAAAAATGGGCTTCACACTGTCCACAAACTCCCTCGCGTGGAAGAAGCTTTGTTTGTTTGAGTTCGAACACCCGAGCTAGAGTTTAAAAACCGAGTACAAAATGATTGATTGTCGAGTGTGTCAAGATCTTAATCTTCAGTCCTCCTTTTGGTAGCCATTAGTGACTATTTATAGAGAGGAATGGCAAGTAACTACCTCCTAGGAACGTGGGAAGTGGGTGCAACCGCTTCCACGTTTTAAGCTTTAGTGGCTAACTTGGTCAAGCAGTACAAGCAGACTTGACGTTCAAGCAAACTTGATGAACTTGCAGGCGAGCTAGAGCATGCAGATGTTTGGGGAGAAAGTTGATGTCTTCATTGATGTAGTCATTACAACTTCAGTCGTTACAATAAAAATATAAAAAGATAGTCTTTTTATAAGACTCTTACACAATAAAAATAAAAAAAGTACAACTCTCATCAAACAGCGCAACGGGTTTTTATCACCCGCTGCTTGCGTGGGATCTTGGCCTGTGATGAGGATGTTGATATCCGTAGACCACCAAACGATCAGATCAGATCCAGAACTTCGTCGATTCGCAAAGGAATCAATAAGCCGAAGCAATTATCTCGGTAACGGCGAGATAATCACTCTTCTCGAGATCACCGCAACGGGGCGATCTCAAGGAAAAGAACCGGGTTGCAGATCTATCGAACTCTCATTCTTTATGCCAAAGAATTCGCTGAAGCCTCCCCTCCTCTCTAAAATTTGTGCTCCTTCAGTCTTCAATTCAGCAGGGCTTCGTCGACGATCGTGAATTGCAGATCTGAAAAAATAAAGGCTTAGGGCTGTATTTATAGGCTTCAGGAGCCCTGTGTTCGGATAAGAACGATCGATTCACTCTTATCTTCAGTTATAACAATTTAACCATGTTCTTGGATGATATTCTATTAGTTGAAATAAATCCAGACGGTTAACAATTAAAAAATAGCTTTAAACTGCCAAAATTTAGTTTTTCGGGTCTGCGGACACCCGTGAGTGTCTCGACCAAGCCTGGGCCGAGACACTCCTTGGTGTCTCAGCCAAGTCTTGGCCAAGACACTCCTTGGGTGTCTCGGCCAAGTCTTTGTCGAGACACCTCTTGGTGTCTCGCTGAGGCTTGGCGCATTATCCACCGTGTCGTGTCCGTTTTCGTCGTAAATTCTTCATCCGAACTCAGAATCACGCGATTCAAAATGCGTCGGAAAGTTAACAAGGAGATCTACAAGATTCCATAGTTGAATAATATGTGAAGTAGATGGGACATGAGGGGTTCTTCATCTTTTGTAAGTGATATGCAGCTCTTGGTCCATTCGTGTTTTCGTTGTTCCGAAATTCCGTTGCTTCGCATGGTCCGTCGACTCACTTCATGCATTTGTCATCATCAAATGAGTTTTTGTTACTCGAATAGTGATGTTCATTATCTTCTCTCCGTCACGAGTCGCGTGCGGGGACCTATAGGTAATTTTTAACGCCTACAGATATCCCCTCTAAAGTGTTTTAGTCTCGTTTCTTTTATAAATGAGCCTGAAATACTTTGGATATGATCGGTCCAACCTTCAGTCGGTGTAAAAGGACCTGTAGTTAGTTTTGACTCTTGACTCCTCTGATTTTCAGTCTATTCAATATAAATAGCTAAAATTCTTACGGCGCTGTGTTTATCGTCTGGCCGTCGTCGAAGTCTCGAATCAAAAACTGGTGAATTGATTTTGGCTCGTGTCATCGAGTTGACTTAGAACTAACTATCTCTGTCACAATATATTGACTTAGGGCTACGCGTTGAACAACGTTGACTTTAGGGTTTTGGATCGCCCGGTGTTGACTATTCATCGCAATGCGTTGACTAACGTTGACCTAGGGTTACACGTTGACCGACGTTGACC